ACAAGCGCCGTAACATCTCCATAAACGCCGTACAAGCGCCGTAACATCTCCATAAACGCCGTACACGCGCAGTACACGCGTAGCAAAGACGCTGCGAAAATGGTAACATTTGCAACGGCGACTTTATGGCGTCAGTGTATCTGTCGTCTTCATCGCGTGTATGTCGTGTTCATCATCATTGCAGAAGATATCCGCCAAGGTTCGGCGATCTGACCTGGAACGCGGTAAGAACGCGGTGGGTTCGCGTTTGTCGGCGACCTTGTACATTTTCTGGTCGCCGTACGGTCGCGGATGGTCGCGGATGGTCGCCGTCCGGTGTGACGGGGGTATAAAGATTGTGTACGCGCCCGTTTTAATATGCTGGTGGTTACTGAGCTACGCTACTTGAAATCGTATCCATGGTCCTGCCTCTGTCTGATGTGAGGGCATGCAGTGAATCCACTTTTACCTAACACATGTGATGAAGCCTGGTCTAAATAATTAATATTAGCAAACGTGAATTGTTGTTCCAGCCCGTTCTGGAACGGCGAGGGTGATATTATTGTTTTCGTATTGTATATCATCAATTCCTTACCAATATGCACCGGACATATATATATATAACATCAAGAGTATAAGATAAGATAATAACCCAGGTTAACCCAGTTATTATCTTACTCTTGATAACATGTAACGTGCATGTTGGTAAGTAATTCATATCCATGCAGGTCGACTATGCGTTTGATGAGAATGTGGTGTGTGTGTTGAGTGGGTGTGTGTTTTTTGGGGGGGGGGGTGATAAATGTGGTACTTTCTTATGTGCAGCTTCCAGCCCAGACTCGTTATAATGTAAACGGTCGGTCGCCGCGAAGGCGGTGAATAGCTTGTTATGACCTAAGAACAAATATTTTGCTCAGAGATGAATACTACTATTAATTGGGTTCTCAGGCGGCTGATGTAGTCCCATCTGCGTTGAGCATTGAGTTGATTCAAGAGTATGCTGTGGGGAGTAGGAGGGGAGGGGGGAAACGCATGCTTGGCTGCTAATGGGGAGCTGTGGCTAATTGTGCCAGTTGTTGCTGTTGTATGCGAGAAAGCTTCCACACAATTACCAAACTCCCACCCCCACTCCACACAGTGCACCCGTGAGTCGTACAACTGACTGTACACTACGACGATACGCGTATATATATATATGCGTTTATGATGAAGCCGCCTGTGCTGTTTTGCTGCAAAATTTACATCTTCCAGAAAACTGAAAACATGCAGCATGCTCGCGGTGGCTGTAGTGATGCGTTTTCTCGGTTCTTGTTTCTCGTTCTGTCACACGTAAATCAGTTTTCACCGAACAACCCAAATTTAATTTGGCTCTAAAAAGCCCGCAGCTGAACAGGAAACTTTGAGGCGATGTCAGTGATTTTAATACACATTTACTGTATATGCGATAATATGTGATGCTAATTATATAATCGCCTACAAAGTGAGAGCACGCGCACTGCTTGCACTCTCTTGACGGTTTAGTATGTAATCGGAGAGTTTTATCACATAATAGAAGTGCGTACGTGCGTGCGCATAAGCATAGTTCGGTATTTCATAATCA